ATAATCTGATGCGATGGAGACATTTTTTGACTTTGGAATTGGAACAACTGTTGCCAGTTTCCATGTTACATTATAAATTGTTATTTTGTGTTATTAAACCAATACATCATTTTCGATTTTTTGGATTGACTAACGTTTATGAATAAAATGTAATTGCTTTCAGAAGAAAGCAAAATCGAACCATTCTTTTTCTCCTGAATGAATAAATGTGTGGATATAACTACAAATTTGTAAATGCGTATTTGTAACCACAATGGCATTTGCATCCTGGAAGCCATATCCAAAGAATAAATTTTGTACACAAAAATCTCTTGTGTACAAAAGAGCTTTAGAAGTTTCTATACGGTTTACAATTATGTGTTGTTTCACGCCAAACAACATTAAACCTAATTGTATGACTGTTTTAAGAGAAGAAGGCTCGTCGTTGATTAATATGTAACTATTAATTAATTACATATGTCGAAGTCTCTTCGTTTATTAGCAACCAACATTTTAGCTTTCATGAGAAATCTACACACAAAAGTATCGACTTCAACACATCTCACACTACGAAATTCTCTTTACGCTGCATCTTCATTATATCAAAATCTCAAATCTTAAAATCATTTGGGAAATAAATAACATACCCAAAAGTAAGTGCGCAATGTTAATTTTTGTTTTTATTAGTGATAATTACTCTTTTCATCAGATATTCATGCCAGAAAGAAACCATAAAAAGGATTAAAATGAACTGTTGTATCTTAGGTTTGATTAGGGACCACGCTAAAAATGGTCTAGAACACAAAAAGAAGATATTGTAAAATGAAAAACCATTCCAAGAATAATTAATGCAATTATTGGCTAAGAAAATCGAGTAGGATAAAAAAGGACTCCAGGCCGAGGGACTCGAATTAAAAAAAAGAAAATAAACTTCCTTGTTCGTTAGATACCCAGTGATGGCGAAGAGTTCAACTGACAACTTCGTTATTAGAAGATTGGAATATAATGGTACTGAGTTACGTAAGTTTTTACCACTCATAAATTAAAATTTTTTTGCTTTGATTCACCTGCCCGTTTGTTTGGACTTTAATTCGTTTTCCATTTCCACCTGTTTTTTCCCATAAACGCAACTAATACTAACTCAGAAAGACCAGCACCAACGCAAATGTGATCTAACGTTATCCGTCTTATATTGTTATGTCCAACCTGCAAGTCGCTATTTCTGCGATATTTTTATTAAGTTCGGCATATTTCGGCTTAAGAACAAACTCCCTTAAAAATGGTTCGAATCGGACCACATATAACGTTTCATTTTGAAAAGTCTTCACTTGAATCACTGTAACAAGGGAAGTGGTGTAAAATATTTTATGGCAGCCTGCACTCCATTGTAATGTTTTTATTTGTTTTAATTAGAAAGCAAAATTGTTTATATGTACACTTCGTTAAAAATGTTTGCTAAACTAAATATCCAGCAGTAACCATGTTTGCTTAGAGGAGGACTCTCTCTCTACTCTCTCTACTCTTGCTCGACATAATCCTGCAATACGACTTTTTTGAATTAAAGATGAATCATCATCAAGATCATAAAATTTGGAAGTCTGGATTGCAAATTGATATGAAAGATCAAATGAATTACTTTAATATTTTTTTAATTGCTTTTGTATGTAATTGATGGGTTTTTTCCGTACATTTGCATAGCGTTTATATATATGTATATTAAAAAAGACAGGAATATTTTATAAACATGTGACACGGTGGCGATAGGGAAACAATCAAACATTTGATTGTATTCCGCACAGGATATTTAGTTCAATGTCACGTTTTCACAATTTCACAATCACTCTTGCCTTTCCTTGGGATTTCTTTCTTGTTTTTTTTTTTGCTTTTGCGCACCCGACGTCTGTATTTTCATATGAAAGTAAACTTTACAAAGTACAACTGCTGTAGCAGCACCATACATCCAGCTGCTATGATTTTTTTTCACCACTTCTCATTTAACAGAAATGTGGACGGCCGCTTTATATTACAAAAATTCAAATTTATTTAAATAATGGATCCGAAGGTAGGTTGACTTTTTGCTGTTATAGTTGAAACCTAAATATTCAACTTATTTTTTGCCTTTAAAACCAAAGTTGAAAGATTTCCTGACATTAGATAATAAAATCACAAAGCTTTGTTTTGATCGATGCGTTAAGTAATGCAAAGGTATTTTGTACACTAAAGCTTTATTTTGTACAATTACCTATTAACACAACTGAAAAATCCGCACCTTTAAGAAGGGATCAAAAAATAACAGAAAATTTGCCAGCATAGAATTATACATTTATTAGTTCCATTTGTATATATATATTTATAAAACCTGTTCAGGTTCTGTAAGTCTCAGATAATAACATGCGGCGTATTTGCGTAACAGTGTTAGGATAGGATAGGTAGGCCTACCTGTAAAACAACTTTCAGTGACCATTCATTGGAGGCAAAATTAACGGGTTTAATATCTTGCACTTTTGTTACGATGATTTCTTTGCTTTTAATGCGGAAATAGTACCTACGCGAATTGATTGTAAACTGAAACGATACAATATTCTTCAAATATTACAGTCAGGTAATTAAAACTTTGAAATTTGAAGAAGACGCTGTAAAAACGTTAAGGGGGTTTTCAAAACCATCTTTAAGCTTAACTGATAACAACGAGGATTATGAAATTATTTGTGATTGATAATCATTTTTATCGACGCGTGCGTTATAAACTTTACCAACTAGCACAACGTGATCTATCTTGTTCTCGTACGATATAATAGATATGAAGAAAGTATTTCACAGGTCTTGTGCATACATAATCCTAAAAAAAAGAGAATTGATGAAAAATATTGCGTGACGATCAAATATCGAAAGCAAAATCACAGGAAAAGCGGGAAAAATAGTTAAATTTGTCATACGTAATTACCTTCTGTGTTCTTCTTGTGAATGCAACTACGAACAGTTAACACTAACGCAAAACGCTAGCTGTTTGACTTTCGCCTTATTTTTAATTTGTTAGTTGAAAAAGAGCATGAGCTAACTTTCAGATACGCAAATGTCTTGCATGTTGTGCCGAAGTTTGTTTTTATGTTCTATATTGTCGTCATTGTGTTTTGTTATAAATATGTATTACAAAGATGTTGAATTCTCCGAATATTTATTTTGTCTCACCAGGGGTGAGATTTCTTTCCCGTACTGAGAAGATCTTGTGCTCTCCAAACAATTCAATTGTTCCCGCAGTATATAAAGACGTATGCAAAGACGTTTAACATACCGATTCTGCTGATAATCATTGCCAAATTCATCATTCAAATTCTTCTGAACAATACATTTTATGACGCGGTAGATGAATCAAACAAGTGTTGAACACTATGAACTTTCCGAGTAGTTCAAATGTTTCGCTGTGGGCAATAATATTTCGCCGTAGGGAACAATGAAATAACTTTTTCAATAATACAGAGAGAGGTGAGCTAGCATCACCAAAATTGTCATCTGCACCTAAAAATTTTGTTTTTTTTACCGAATTTAAAGAACATATTAACCAGGAATTGTTTTCGAGATCCGTATTTTAAAGATAGTCTACACATGATATATTGTAATACACACAACGTAAGGCCCTACATGTCCTATTTTTAAATAATTTGACTGCGTAAGGTAAGAACTGTAAGGCAAATTCCACCTCAAAAAGTAAACACGGAATTTACATAGTTTCCCCTATTCAACATTGCCTATGATCCAGAAAGCGAGCCTAGTTCCAACATTTCAAAAACTTGCAACCGCTTCATTCCAAGCAAAAAGTTTTGCTGTATACTTTAATTATTGTGCACTACTTTTAAACTTTATTGAGAACAAAAACATGCTTTACCCCTCAGTTTACCTTCACAGAAAATGAATCTAGAGCACCTATTTACAAAAAATACTTCAGTACTTTATTAAAGCGTATATAGAAATCATTAAATTATGAAAATGATAGGTAAAAATAAGGTTATTTTTTAAGAATAAATTCATTTAATGTTGATATAATTGTATATTATTGAAAAGATTCTAGAACACAAACCCAGTTCTTTTTTTTGTTTGCTAAAAAAAATTATTTACATAAAATTTCTAATAACACTTTACCAATCAGCTAAAGACCATTTCGGCAAAGGTGATTTATTTATAATACGTAAACGATGCCTAACTTCTTCAGTGGCTCGACCCGTATCATAACCAAAGGCATCCAATGGACCTAATTGGAATTTGCAAAATCTAGATGAAAAGCAAAATTTAAAAATCGGTTTGTTTATGATAAGAATATGTGTATCCAACCTTTCCCCGGATATGGCTTGTAAAAATTTAAAGTAGCTTTCACGCAAGGTGCGAGGTTCCACAATCCCAGCGTGGAATAGCGTTGCCGTACATAAAGTATATAAAATCATGGTAAATCCTGGCATATAAGGGACGTACTTTTTCTCTATGCCCACGTTGTAGATTATCTACCATAGGTCGTGTTATAAACAAATTAAAAATTAAAATTTGAGATGTTTAATATTATGTTACCTGTAACATTTTCCACATAACGTACAAAGCTACTGTTATATCTGGATAAAAAATAAAACTTATACTGCTCAGTAAACCAGCAGGTATAGCGAATCGAGCATCGTCAAAGTTGAAACTATGTCTCAAAGTGCAAGATGTGGCCTTTTTTAAATATAAAATTCTTGTTATAGATATTGAAAGATTTACATTCTTTCATTTTTACCTTATAAAGCAAGGAGAAGCAACCCATGAACAAACCTAGGTTCAAGGTTTTAGTGGTGAACATATTTTTATGCCATTTAATTTTCATTTGTATAATATTTTTGATATTTAGCAGAATTTTTAAGGCCACTTGTAAACTTATACCACCCAGCAATGGTCTAAGTCCGCCCATCAAGACATAATGCAGACAGCTAACCTGGTGAGGACAGCACTGATGTCTCCCTTTAATAGCCCTTAGAAATTTCGAATATATTTGCACTAAACCACTAATGCTGCTAAGATTTATAGGGGTTCTTGATTGATTAGCTGATTCTTCACTTGTGGTTTGCAATGACTTTAAAGGACCCTCTTCGGTCTTACCCACAAATATACGTAAAATATCAAACATAGAATCTTTACAAGTATTACTCTGATGTAAGCCCAAACGGTACATATAAAGTAGTACCGAAATGCTTGAACCAAATATCAAAGCTTGACCGTTGGGTATAGATTTCACCCAACCCCTAGCTTCTGCCATATTCCATAAAGTCTCTGTGGCGACATTTGCTACATATAACGCCAATAGAGATCGTCTTTTCGGTCTTTCCACAACAATTGCAGAAAAACTGGATAAGACACTAGGTATAAAGGCTACTGTTGATATGTGAAATCCGCCGAGCAGATTTCGTATCAGGCACGCAAACAAAGTAAATGTATAAGCATTAGTTACCAGGAAGGCAGTCGATTGTAAAATACCTAAAACCATTTTATGCAAATCTCGTTTTGTAGGTACTTTATGACGCATTAACATGGAGAGCTTCAAAAGTAAAGCAAAATAACTTTATATAAAATAAAACAAAGAGGTCCTTAGCTTTACTTACCATATAAACCATAGTATAAACTTTTAGACAATACGGTGTAGAGGACAACAAAAGACCGGCTACCGCATTAGTACATTTATCGGTCCAGGGATGTTGAATTTCCTGACAGGTGTTTAAAACCCACATTTTGCTTTGTATTGCCATGTCGTTTGACTTTTATTGAGTATTTCGAAATATGTTCAAGAGTTTTTATCTAAAATCTTTTAAAAGGGAAGAACGCCTTGTTCTAAAAAATTGTTTTAACCGTAATTAATTTTAATACAAAATCAGTATTCTTTGAAAAACTATAAGAGCTTTGCTTCTATAGCTGCGCCCTTATAGCGTATTTTTTTTTTTTTAATTTTTAATGTTATATGGCTTTCAATCGGCAGGAAAATAACAAAGTTGATTCAGAATTTTATAATTTTATATAATTCATTTTTAGATCTGGCTATATTCAGACTCATTTTATATAGGTCGTATAAATCCCACAAATTAAAATTTCGTCCGCTTTTTTTAAATTTTTCGGGAATTTTGTCATTCTGTTATTATATATACTTTTGGCCAGTTATATTGGTCTAGATAAGCTAACACGGCTTGAACAATTAAAACAGTCCTCGAAACTTTACACAAGTTTAGAGGTGTAATTCGTGCGCGCCCCAAAATGTATTAAGACATTCCGCCTACACCTTGAACGTTCGCTAGCTTCGCACTCAGAGAGTCAAAAGCAGTAGAATTCTTATATTCATGTGCATTTGTTTGTCCTTTCTTCCGTCAGCCGTCTTTTTTTACGACTTCCCAAATCTTGGCGCACATGTTTTCAGCTGGATATTATAGATCAAGTTTGAAAGTCATCATGATCTGCTCATAAGTACATCTGAAATATTTAAACAAATGAAAAAAGAAATTTTTTTATAAATATTGTTAATAGTAATCTACTGTGGTTGATATCGATTTAAAGTTTTACAGGAGTTTTTCGAAAAGCCACTTTAAGGGACGCAACAGGTACAAGGCACTCATTCGTGCAAAAGATGAGTATCCAAAATTTCCCTTAAGGCGGACATAACTTTCTTATTTATGGGTAACAAACAACTATAAAACTCATTTTATTTTTTACATAAGTCTTTATACAATTTATGTGTTAAAACAGGCCGATATATATGAACACATGAAGACAAATATTAACGGGAAACTAATGTACGGTCATAGGAAGTTTTATTACTATATTATACGAGCATAAAATGTAATATATTGTAAATGTTAGATAAGCTGATTACTAATCCTTCAGTAATTGATTAAAGTTATATCAAGTATCAAGAAAACGGAAAAGAATCGATAGTATTATATATATTAAGTTCAAGATGAACTAAGTAGTAATCTACATCTAGAATTCTCTACATTTTTATCTAAGATAAGGAGTAATTAAAAGCAAAATGGTATCATTTAGCGCTTTACTTTTTATACGTAATTCGTAGAGATAGTAAATAAAAAATATTTGCTAAATTCAACATCAAAAATAGGCAAGACTTAAAGATGCATTTTCAGAAAGTTTATGGATTTAGTCAAGATTTAGTCAAGGTTCGGTCGGTTACATAACCTAAGTCAGAGGAAAACCTTTTTTTATGGTGGTTTATCTATTAACTTTTTTCATGTCTGCGAAACAATATTTTACTACTTTTAATATATATATTATAAGTTATGTGATACTTATATTACACATGCCTGCCTAGAGTTAAGCAGTGCCGCGCAGTATCGAAACCGTATTATACGAAGTTTTTTCATTTTTTATTTACGTACTCGACCTAAGATGTCTTATAGAATAATATAACTTAAACTTAGATATAACGTAAATAAAAGTAATGTGTACCGTATTGTACCAAAACCTAGTCTTAAGGTATGATAGCCGAAACATCGTTCCAAATATACATCTAACTGAAGAATTAAGTAAATTTCGACCATTTACACACAAAAAATATATGTTTATGATAGTAATATGTGATGAATGATAATAATATCGACGTTGACAAACTTGGATTTCATCAAAAATTACAACAAATCCATTTTTTTTTCTCAGAATAGATTGAAGCCCCTCTTATTAACGATAGCATAAAAACAAAACAAAAAAGAATTGAAAATATATCCAAGGGAGTAGATATTCAATTTTTTAAAATAGTTTTGTATCAACGCTCTGTTGGGATAATCGTTGCATTGAAACTGTGTTTGCCCAGCACAATATTATACCCCTGCGCATAATATTAGTTTGGGGAAAAAGAAATCCATTATTTTTTCGATAGATGGCTGCACTGATAGATTTCCCGTAAAGTATCGATCAAACAATTTCCGATTCTGTACATTTACATACTGTACATTTCGCAGTAAAAAAAATTCTTTTGCTGTTTTTTGTTTGGTGCATTCAGTTGTGAGTTACAGCGTGTTAAAAATGGAAGTGAACAAAGAGAAAATTCGGTACATTTTACAGTTTTTCTTTGACAAAGGCGAAAATGCAAGCCAGGCGGCTAAAATTGTGAATGGTGTTTATGGTTCCGATACTGTAACAGCCAATTATATGCGATTACCATCTTTTTCTTGCATTGCAAAATTTCTTTAATGATATAAAATTGGAATCTAGGGAGGATTGTGAAAATCGACTACTAGAGTTTTTTGCAAATAGAGACCAGGACTTCTATGAGAGAGGCATTGTGAAGTTACCCTTAAAATGGCAACAAATCATACAACAAAACGGTGCATATTTGACCCAAATCGGACAATCCGAAGCACGTTAAATAAAGTCCTGAAGTTCATATAAAAATAATGGATTTCTTTTTCCCCAAACTAATATAATGCATATAAGGTGTGTTACGATCCGGGAAATTTTTCGTTATGAGACTAAGACCTACCCGTAGTGTTGCACAGGACTTTTTTTTTTGAAGCCATATTATTGGATGGGGTCACACTTTTATTTAATTGAACTAATTCTCGGTTTTACTAGTATTCAACGATTTTTCTAACAATCGTCTTAAACTTTCCTAACATGTTCTCTCACTGCACATATACTTTATCTATATCTATGTAGAAGTTTACACGCATATACTTCAACCTCTATCTAACATGTATGTATGTGCTCTTACATACAAAAGCAAATAAATTTTATGTTATACTTCTATGGGCGTACGAACATATATGCATATTCATAGTATTGCTTAAGCCAATTCGCGAACATTTATATATACCTACACTACACACTCGCTCATACATATACGTCTGTGTTCGCATATGTGGAGAGGTAAGCAACCAAGTTTTTTGGTGTAAGTTTCTTGTTCTTCCTTTAGTTTTTGGTGTAAGTTTCTTCTCCGATTTAAGTTTTTTGGTGTAAGTTTCCTGTTCTTGTTTAAGTTTTTTGGTGTAAGTTTGTTCTTCGATTTAGGTTTTTTTGTGTAAGTTTCTTCTTTTGTTGTCGTAACATTTATGATAATGAAAATTGATGTATGCAGTTATAGATCTACATAAATACGAATGTCCAGTAATTTTGTTCACAAAATTCCTGAAGTCATCGTGATGATAAAGTATGTTTAATTAGGACTGGAATGATATTTTCATTCGACCTGTAGGTGGTGTTTATTACTAAGAAATGATAATCTACTAATCCTATTAACCTTTTTATAAATTCCTATGAAAAAAATTAGAATAAGAGAGAATTTTTAAGCCAAAACGAATGAAAGTTGAAACCTGAAATTATATTTCAACAAATTTTTAACTATAGTTCGCAGATCGAGTTTGATAATATTCGAAGCCGTGACTCACCTCACAAACTTAAAAAGTTCAGTCTCGAAAAGAAGTGCGGAAATTCAAACTATTTTCTTCTTTTTCTTTTATAAAATACGACCGCTTATAGTTTATAATAAGCTCGTAAAAAAAAAGGATAAAGAAGATGGCGTATCGTATATACAGTTTCATTGAAACTTGTTACAGCATTTCGACTTCGCCGATCTTAACAGTTTGTCGGTTAATTAGTAGTTTGAAAGCAGGACGTACGAACACGAACGAGGCTGAAGGAAGTGAATCAAAAATTTCTTGGAAATTATTTTCGATAATCGCAAAGTGAAATTATAAGAAATTATAGCTGCAATCTTAAAGATATCAAAGGGCATAGCATTCAACTAGAGTACGTTTGCAAATCTCAAAAGGATCCTCCCGGGGAAAGATTTGAAGAAGGCTATTATAATGAATAAATTTGCATACTTGAAAATAAAATGTTTTTTTACTTAGTCCCAAGAATCATTGACTGATCTATTATATTATTGTATTATATTTTCCCAATTGTCATCTTCTTTATCAACGACTACAAATGTCGCCATCTCTATCAACTTCCGAATCGTGTGTTTCTTTCGCATTCTGAAACCATGAACAAAAGTAAATAGGGTCTAAAGCTTCACAAAACTAGGAGAACTAGCACTAATTGGTCAAAAATAGCTAATAGAAACGAGTTCATTTTAAACTTTTTGAAACTTGAATAAAACGATTTTGTTCGCTATTAAAAAAAGTCTCTTCATTCGCTAAAGCTCCAAAAATGAAGTTGTACTTCAATTTTCTTTACGCTCTAAGCTGGGTTGAATGCGAGGAGTACATGTCTGAAAGAGTGAGTGCAAAAATTATTGAAAATAATTCCCAGCGATTATGTAGGACAATGTTAACTGATTTTATGTTCTGTGTGAGTAACGGTGGAGAACGACTCAGTGTCATTTATAGCTATGTACAATGGACTTTAGATTTACTTTTAATTTATTCATTTATTAAGTAATTACAAAGCCGTAGGCATAATACCTATTACGTAGACACATTTCATGTACTTCTTGCTTCATAAAATCCACAATCATCAATTCTTACCACCAACAAAATATGCATTATGAGTTTAGCAGTGCTGTTAATTTTCTTCTAAACGTATTCAAAGAATCAACCAGGGATTTCAGACTCGGTGGTACGGCATTCCAATATTTAGCAACACGAACAGTAAACATCTGATAAGTTAGACAAAGAAGGAGTTACTACGAAAGGGTGTCTATTCGATCCAGAATCCTTCAATGAAAACGCTCGGCAGTCGAGTTTGAATTATTTTGTAAAGCGCTATAAACGAAAGATGTTATACTACAACAATAATTCTTTTAAGCTTATCTGAGTTATACTTGACCCTTCATACTTTCTATTAATATTTAAAATTTGTTCTAAAATCGTCTAAGATATAGTACGAAAGCTATTACTCTGTTTCTGAGGTAAATATTAGGCTCTTTGATTTCAGGAAAAAAATAATATATTTTTCTTCAGAAGAAAGTTTTTGTGTTCCATTTTTACAGGACGCATCGAATCTTAAGCGAAAGCATAATGGTACGTACAAGACGTTGAAATATGTGTACACCACAACGATACCAACTTATATTAAAGGCAATTTCAATGCAAATAAAATCAATTAAAAGTCAATTTACCGAATTAGTAATTAACGAATGCATTAACGTTTAAAATATAGCGCAAGCACCTCTTACGCTATTAATATACAAAATCTTACCTTTAATAAAAAAAGAAAAACTTAGGAATAGAAATACATGATTTTAAAACGTTATAGACATTTCACGCCGCTGCTTCTACGATTTTCGAATAAATAACACCTTCCGCGGAAAGTTATAAATTTATATCAATAATCACAATTCAAGTCCAGGCAACGCTTCAGAGGCACCAGGAATTTGTTTGCACAGCCGAGACGATTTAGAAAGTATAGCATATTGCTATTAATAGTCCATTAGGTATCTAAAATTTGCGTTAATTGCTTATCAAAGCCATCGTGAATTGCTTTATCTTCAAGGCATTAAAAGTCAGGTTAGTGTTCTCACAAGGCGTCGTACGTTGACACTCTTGAAGTCGTTTCTTTAGATTGCTTCTTAAACTGGGAATCGAGTCGATTGAGCTAAATATAATTTACATTCATTATCGATTTTTAATAGCCCTAATTAACTATTAGGTACGCAATAAATGAAAAGCATGAGTTGTTGCGAATATTGGATACCCAAAAATTTAAGCGTAGACATAGAAAATATATTGGATTTACTTTTTTCTCTTTTGATACCTACCTTATCTAAATATGTAAAAGTTTGCTGATAACCGAAAATTTGCTAGTTACCCGATCAAAACCAATTTTATGCTCGACTCTTACATAACCAATTTTGGAACGATAGTTGCTATTGATTGTGGGTTGCACCTTCTTGGTGGCCGTTTTGATTCACAAAAATTGTAGAATGTAGACCTTTTTCCCAAATTTTGGAGCCTACAGTACTATAAACTGAGATATGCATGGTTGGTCGTTTTATTTAAGAAAACACATAGACTTTTTTGCAACATATACCACTTGTTAAACTTGCTCATTTGTGCTGGTCTTTAGAATGGATCTTAGTTTTTAGAACAATAAAAGACTGGAGGAGGAACATATATACATCACAATTCAGACCGATATTATCCGTGAAGCTACAAGGTACTAATGACTTTCAATAGACATAGAACACGTTTGTGCAATTCCAATTTCCTATTTAGACTTTTGTTACTATGACCGTTCGAATTTCGGACATTGCTAAATCCTAAATGCCGCACTGATTGTGGCGCTTATATTTGCTGATGTTATCTTTTATGAACACAAACAAATAGGAGCCTCAACTGACCATATTTACGTTCAAATTAACCAAAGAGCGAAAATCCCAACGTGTGGTTTTTTTTGTGGCAGCTTGTGTTGTGTACAACGGAATGTACACATTTCTAATGTATGGCTAAAAACAACAACAACTGCAGGAAACTAAGCTAATGTTCTTAGGTCACCAATGATAAGCTTTGCTTTTATTGTAAAAAACTACAATAAAAAATATATAACAACAATGCCAACAACTTGATTTGTGTTTCAATAAATATTCAGTAATTGAATTTCCCAAACAAAAAAAACAAAAAAGAAATTATGTCAATAATTCACATAAGACAATAACATATTTTTGATTTGATATATTATAAAATTTTTTATTAAATATTTGGGCGCTTTTCACTGAGCGTGACTCGTTTATTTTTCCTGTACATTTAATACACTTTACGCAACTTTATTTGTTTATCAAACTTTTATACATTTCTTTTTTTCATAATTTTTTGCTAATTCTAGTGAATTATTGCTATTATTTTATTTTTTTTATATTATTATTATTACTGCTTTTTTGCTGTTACTGACTGTTTTGTAATTTGCATTTACTGTTATTATTGCTTGCTTACAGTTTAAGCGATTGTTTGCTCTAAATGACCAAAAACAGCTGCGCGTTTATTGTACAGCTGGGGAGGTGAATATAATTTGAGTTGAATAATTCATGTTAATTCTTTGAGAACAGCGGTGAAGTTCCATTCGTTATAAGATGGCGCTGTTCGGCTTAAAAATCTTTATATTTATATAAAATACTAAAAAAAGCAAGATAGGATCAACTAAAAGCAATATTATATCACGTTTATATTATATGTTGTTCAAATTTCCTCTTCAGCTTCTTTTAGGTGGTTCGAATAAATGTTTTTTTTTTTTTAAATGCTCTGTTGGGATAATTGTTAACAATTTGGATTTTTTGTTTGGTGTCTCTTTGTTAAAATATCTTTATTATATGATTATCCATATGTATTAATTATATTGCAAAACCCTTCGGCAGGACATCTCTTTTCGTAATTCTACTCTCTCTAGCACATATATATCGCTGATCGAAAAAAAATTTTTTCTTGTCCAGAATTGCAAAAATGCAGACGGAAACCTCAAACTTATTTTATGCGTTTTTAGTAAAAAGAGGGATTAACGTATTTAATAGGACAAGAGATTGTTTCGAGTTTGAGCTTCAATTTTTAAAGAACACATTTAGGCGATTGTTTAAGAATTTGTTTTCTTTTTGGTTTGGATAGTCTTAAATATATAGCCGATTGAAGAAAATAAAATTGTTCTTCTTGGCAATTTAAAAAGTTAATTGTCACCTGTGGTAACGTTCATTCGTTAAGGAGACGTTTTTAAAGAGCTTTATGTTTAAATCCTGAAATTGAAGTTGTAATTTTCGATTCGTCATACAAATTCACAAACAAGCAGATTCGGTATTTTTGTTCAAAAGGTGGAAGAACAATTTCATTTCAGTCAATTGTTCGCTTACTAATTTATTAATATTTCTTTTAAACTGAAATAAGAAAATTGTTGACGATTCCTTTGTAGTAGAAAACTTATTGAGCTTTACTCCGTTGATTGCAAGTTTTTGCACTAGGGAAGTTGATTGTAGATTTATCTCTTTTAGGCAGTTAATTGATTGAATATTTTCATTGATTGTAGTCGATAATGAATCCGTAGTTTTTTGAGATCACATTGATTAAGCTAATAAATTTTTGATTATAAAACGAAGCTTAAAGTTAGAAAAGTTCATAAACAAGGAATGTTTATTGATTACTGCCAATGTGGCACTGATTTACATAAATTGTCATTTTCAATTTTCTTATTTTTCTTATTAACGTATCAAAACATTATTTTCTAATATACAGAATTATTAATATTTTACATAATTTTATAAATTTTGGAGAGATAGGGTTAATAAAATTGCGAAGCAGTTTAAAACAGTTGGTTGGCTTTTGCAAATATTATATACGGATTTTAACGGAATCACTAGCTGAGGGATCAGTAGTCAAAGGAAAGAAACACTAATATAGAATACAATAAAACAAAAAGAAAGGAAGCTAATCGGCTTGAACGGAGTAAAAGCTTCTAATATTATTTACAAGATCAGCGAACCTAATCTTACCTGTCTTCATTCATAATAATCGTTGTAAACGGACCCATCCAGTGCACCTTTTCAACTTACAACAACTTATTGCTGGTGTTAAAGCACGGTTGTTAAAGAAAATAGGACAAAATTAATATAATATAATAAATTAAAAATTTTATGATTAAAATAAAAAATTATTATTTGGACATATAAGCCACAAATCTATTGGCTTAGTCCATCTCTGTTCAACATACCAAAAAAAAATAAATAAATAAAAAAAATATAAAATTTCATTATCGCGGGAAAAAATTGGAAACGAAAAGAGCTTCTTATTGAGTAACTTTTGATAGTTACAATGGGAAAGAAATGGCTGCGGTTGGGTTGCAGTTGCTATACATGCACTGAGAGACGGTGTAGCAAGCATTACAGAGTAGTCAATTTTTGGATTTTCAATAAATAAAATCGCAATACTGCTATCAGAAAAAAACAAAACTAACAAACAAAACACGCATTAAAAAATGAACCAAGTTGAAGGCAAGTTATTAATATATTATCTTAATATAGTATAATATAACTAATTAATATATTATTTTTACATCAATAAAAGTGAATTTCATCAGATTTCACACAAGCAATCAGTTTGTACTGTACAGATCTTGAAACTGTAATGATTGACTCAGTTGGTTTGAATAACTCAGGATAACGTGTAGATGGTTATTATCTGCTAATATGACCCTTGAGCTGACACAAACTCTGTTAGAATTGATTATTAAAAATAAAATTTCAAGAAGATGTATCCGTTTTTGTCCGAACTTCAAAGGCCAAGGAAGCTTTTCGATATTCTTGTGTTTCCAAATTCTTCATAATATTCCGTAACGACGTCCTAGGAAATATAAAAAATTTAATTAGGAGCGAATCTTTGAACGTTTCAACAATCTTTCACGGTGCAATACATATAAATTTATTACCAAATAGCAAATAAGTGAAAAATAATAAATATTTTATGTACGCCTTAAGCCTTAAACGCAGCAAGGCTTGTAAGCGATTTCGGTCGATCGGTTTTTTCTCTGCTCTTTGCAAAAGAGTATTGTTCCATAAGATAACGGAGTTCCATTTCTTTCCATAATCCTCGGCTCACATAATAGCACAACTTAAGAAGAGAGTTACGAAATGAGAACAAGTTCAAAATCCGTCTGTATAGCAAAAGTGTGCGCTCCTAGATTTGCTTATCGAGACCTCAGTATGCAAGTTAAAAAGAAAGAAAGAAAAAGACGACTTTACGCGGTATAATCAAACGTTTTTTTTTGTACAAATAAATATGGTGGAACTCGACAAAGGAACTGAAAGTGAGCAAAATGTTGAAAAATAAATCAAAATACATCGAAAGCATTAAAATTGAGAAATAAATAAAAGTACGTTTCATCAAGTTTAATAGAATTATTGCATCGAAATTTATCGTTTCCGAAAATCCAAAAAATCATATAAATGAATGTCGAAAAATGAAGTTAGAGCTAAGAAAAGCTACAAATAGCGAATTATTATTTGGTGAACCAACTATATTCTCACTCTAAAGTATGCAGCAACATTACCAAGTGAAACCAAAAAAAAAGAATGTAACTGAACAAAGAATAATGCATACATATATAAATTAGTAAAACATATATATGCCTATTGTGGAAATTCCAAATAAAAGGAGGAAGAGGAGGAGACAGGGATCGTGTTCTATTATTTTCTTATATGAAGAGATAAGTTAAATTGCTTTTATTTCTTTTTTCTGTGTGTATAATTTTTATGACTATGTACACTTTCTAGTAAGTTTTGAATTTTTTTTTCGTTTTTTATTGTAAATTAATAAATTACAATAGTGTAATGAAAAATATAAAAGTAAATCTAAAAATGAAAGAAAATAATGTTGTCTGAGTAGAGAAAGAGAAGGTGGGTAAGTAAGACTGTGTGTGTGTGGATGTAATCAGGGACGCGACTTCACGGACCAAGAAATACATAAACATAGACTAACATATAGATGAACAATACAAACGGTCCATAGGACTATTATTTGACGTCATGCCCTTAGTAGTTCCGATCAATTTAATTTGCTTATAATTCATTTTGTAAATGTAGCTGGGATCTCCAAGCGAAGCAAAGTGTAGCCCAAGCTCTAAACAATGCAGAGTTTTGACAAAAAAATGAAATCCTGATATAGTACAATGTTGGATAAGCGTGTTCGATTTTTTCTAGTTTTGCGCTTCATAGAATATACGTTTTCAGTTTACTTGATATTGTGGGTGTGTCCTTCAACCGATTTGGCCCATTTTCTGTACCAAGTTGGGTGCAAGAATTTCCAAAGCTGCCAAATTTGAACCCGATAGCTGAAGTTTTATAGGCAAGACAATGTATAGGCATTACAAAGTCGAACAGGCGGAGATTACCGTTATTATTTATTGAAACAAAGTAAATTAGTTACATTACATCGTATTTGAACTGATCATAAGCCTATACGACAGAGTACAATTTAGTAGCAACTAAGAAAACACTTAAATTTTATTTATCTTAGCGCTTACTTACATTTATATACTATTTTTTATTCAATACCAAAAATTGAAAATATTAGCAACTAGTTACTAATTATAAGCCCAAATAATTCTTACCCGATATAGGTGAAAGCACCTATGAAAGTTTAAATGAATTTATAATGTTGAGTTCCATATTGAAAAGCACACAACAAGAAAAGTAAACCGTAGCAATGGCAACAGGGAGAGACCGTGAGGCATGTTAATTTAATATTGCCTTCTTTACTTTTAGAAACGACGGCGACGTCATATTATATAGATTATAACAGTCATTAAACGAGCGATATGTAATTCAAAGTGGGTTGTTGACCTCATAGTTGGCACGAGTATGAGAAAGCTTTAAAAGCCAATATAATTACGGGTTACTTTTGCCGAAATATGATTATTTAACTCATTGAGGAAAAACGCTCACCAGGTAATCGTTTTATAACAAACGGGACACTCAACCAAGTACGTCTAATTTCCAAGGTTGGAAGATGTATAAGCTTGAGACGATTTTCATAAGCCACATAAAACAAACTTTCAAAAAGCTTTTTGAACTGGCTCTATTTGGTCCACGTAACTTCTACAGTTCGAGAACCAAATCACTATGTAATTCGCTAAAATAAGCCTAACAAGTGCGGCAAATAATCTTCTAT